GGAAGCGGAAGGAATGGACGGAAAGAAAATGAAAGGTGAAATCCGGAAATGTTTAGGTTTATTTTTTCCTTTTCACTCATAGACATTGTTTCTATATGGTATTTTGACACAATTTAAAAAAAAAAAAGAATGGTAGAAATGATAATAAGCAATAAGTGTAATGTTTCGTGATCATATCGATTGATCAGACCAAATCCTAGCTTATTGGATTTTGATTGTAATCTGTTTTTGATCATATCGATTGTTCAAAAAACATCAAACTACAGCTTATCAAATCTTGACTGTATTCTTTTTTTTTGACGAATTTAGTGATATAATTATTCATGACCTAATTAATAAGTCTAACTTTAGGATATAAATATGAAAAGATTGTTTTACAAAAACAAAAAATGGAAATGAAATTTGATAGAAGAACGAATATACATATATATATATATATATATATTACCACAATATTGATTATGTTGATATGATAAGATAAACATGTATCATAAAAATGATGACGTATGAAAAAAATGATTGCTAAACATTAATTTAAACATGGATATATAGTTAAAGAGTTCAAAATATGTATAAAAATTGTAGTATTCTGTGAAAATTGCTAAGAATCAAATGTTTCTATCAGAAGTAATTCAATTAATTAATTTATTAATTAATTGAAGTTTGGTATAAGTAAAATACGGTAATTATATATGTAGAAATATCATTGGCATACTGATGATGGAAAGATCTATTTAATGATAAACGACAAATGATTGATTATCTTCATCGTAGATAAATTTATACTTCTTGTTAAATAATGATATATGTGACATTGATTAAACCAATTCTTTATCAATTTGTTAACCGTATATTTATTACCGTAATTATCAACATTATCATTTAGCATGGGTATGCGTATGTAGATAAGTGAACACTTGATCAATTAACATAGCGTACGTAATTTTTTAGAAAATAATTTACGTGTTATCAGTATATTAAATTATTCCTTTAAATTCATTTATGCTTACTTTAGGATAAAATCTCGAAAACAAGTTTAGTTGACAATAGATGAAATATATGCGACAAGTACTGGACATTGTCCACATTATAATTAATCAAGTATAAATGAAAAAATGAGAGATAATAAATATAAAATATAATTAAAAATGGTAAAAGAAAAAGTCAAATCGTCGATAAAAATTGATAGTAAAATATATGAAGCATATCAAAATATATATATCAAAATTTAAAGACAATATTAATAAATTAAAAATTTTAAAAAACTTTTAATATTTTAATTTTTAAATTAAATTACGATGCATTGCGCTCTTCAGAACTAATATTACCCCTATTGCTGTTATACAGTTAATATTCAGTTTTTAATTTCAGATGTAATTTTTGCTATTTGCTACTGATTGAAAATGGAATAGGATGTCTAATTTTTGAATTATTTAATGGAATAAAATTAATTCATTACAAAATAAACATATTAAAATTGATTACAAACTAAACGAAGTGAAATTGATTCATCATAAACATTTTTAAATGAAATGAAATTAATTCATTATAAAAATTAAACATTTTTAAATAAAATAGAACTAATTCATAATGAAATTAAACATTTTTAAGTGAAATAAAATTAATTCATTACAAATTAAAAACAAATATTTTATGTACTACAAAAATTCCTGCAATACTTAAAGTATAAACGATGAATTATTTAAAATAATTATTGGTATCGTTTTTGTAATTAAATATTTCATTGAATGCATCTCAATAATTATAGCTAAATGAATAATATTTATTTTAATGATCAAAAGAAAGAAATGATTTAAGTGAATAATTTTGGTGTGCTTAATTAAACAATTTAGTATGTTTAATTAAATATTTAACATATTAGAAATTAAATAATCTTTAAATAAAACAAAATTTTAAAATTAAAAAAATTTTGTAATTTATATATTAATTTTTATCATTTTTGAGATCTTTCTTTTTTCTTGTAAATATTAAATCATTTTTTGTGAAATAATTTGTCCATTTGC